TTTACAGAAGCCATCATACATCCCAAGCTCTTTAGCTCTAGACACAGCATCAGTTTTTATCGTATGTCTGAGAGAGCTAAATAGCAAGCTGCATGGAACTCAATGCATCAACGTTGAAATTGAAAGCCTGGGACAGCCCTCCCCAGCTTTGAACCTGTAGCTCTAGGGACACTAAACCTTTATAGCCAGATGTTGGGAGCATAAGGCCACTGCTTTCATGCTCAGCTGACATTGAAGTACCAGTCTATTACCTCTGGACTGGTACTTCAATGCCAGCTGAGCATGAAACTGCCATTACTACACTGGGTACCTTCTCTCATTTTCTTTTTAAATCTGTTTCTGCCTGGAGAAAATAATGCGTCCAGTCATCTCCCCTGACCTCACCCCCTCCCACTGCCTCACACCAGGTGATTTCCTTTACAGCTGTATAGAGTGGGTATAAAACACTGACACCTCAGAATGGCAGTATTATACACTCAACTGATAGTCACTTTGAATAGGTGTAAATGACTGCACCAGGGGCAAGCCAGAGGGGAATCTGGCCCACCAGCAGTAAGTAGGCATTCTGGAGCTGGTGGCTGGGGCATGGATATGCCTGCTGTGTGAGAGCACGTTCCCTAGATTTGCAGAACATTGGGAATCTGAAACTGTAGCTCAGTGGGAGCAATTTTGAGGTTTGCTATGAAAAGCTTGCATGGCTCTATATAATTTACTGTTGGAAACTATTTTGCTTGGGGGTATGTTTCTTCTACTGTAATCCCTTCAGAACTCTTGGATGAATATGATTCTGTCAGGCATATACAGAGTATCACTTTTGGACCATTCCGTTTTGTTTCCACTTAAGCCATTTCAACATTTCCAGTTTATATACAGTATAAAATTCTCATTTCACACCCTTGAACGTCCTTCACACTCTCTCTAACACTGTTATTAAGGTTCTAATGTAGAACTTTACAGCTCATTCATAAAAGAACACCTGTATTCCAAACTGACATCATGTCACTCTAGGCATCCAAAAAAAAACAGTGTATTTTACAGCCTTGCTCTTAAGGTTGATTGCATTTGCAGTAAAGAAGAATGCTATTGGGAAAGAATTAAAGCACCTATCTCTCAATTTCTGATTCAAGGATATCAGCTTCACATTACAGAGAGGCATATTAAGGATATGTGCTATATCATTAGAAAATATCCATTAAATACACTTAAATTTGAAGCTAAAATTATATTCTGTCTGTGGCTGCTTTTCATGCAATGCCATCCAGCTCTCAGTAAGCTCTCAAATAGGGCTACTCATTACAATTTTGAATTCCATCAGAATGTAATTCTTAAACCTCTATTTTTATCTTCCTAACAAACCATGCTAGTCTCTCTAATTTATGTTATTGTTATTATAAAAGAGAAGGCTCAAAGGGGACATTATTTTGGTTTATAAATAGCTCCAATGGTATAATAGTCTTTATGGAATAGAATTATTCACACTCAGAAAATGGGTGGACAAGGATAATACAGAAGGAATAGCTAAGCTAAGGCATCAGGGAACCAATGCCATGTGGGGTTCCATGCTCTGTACTTTTCTGACCAAATATGTTCAGTCTATGAGTAAAAATTATGTGTTTTCTAATAGGCAGCCCCCAAAACTCATCCTGGTGTCTGAGTTAAAGCTGGGCCCCATGTGTCATCATCATCATAATAAAGCCTCTACTACTAGTCAAATAATACTAACCACACTAAGTCCTGAGTTACACTTGTCTAACTCAATTGTCTTAACATTATAAATTCATAGTTTAATAGATTATAAAGTTAGAAGGGACCACTGTGATAATCCTATATAACACCGGCCATAGCACTGCCCTGAATTCATCCCCTGTTCGAACTAGGGCATAGCTTTTAAAAGAAAACATCCAATCTTGATTTTAAAATTTTCAGGTGTGGAGATTCCATCAAAACCATCAGTACATTGTCTTCTTCGTCTTTCTTCTTTTTTCCTTTATGCTGCTTTTCCTGGTGAGGTAATGAAGAGTAGGGAGGACCAGACCTCCCTTTCCTCTGCAACAGGTTCCAGATCCTCCTGGGGGATTCCCCAGCATTCCCAGGCCAGCTGGGAGATACAATCTCTCCAGTGTGTCCTGGGTCAGCCTCGGGGCCTCCCCGCAGTGGGACATTCCCAGTGGAATTATTGTTCATCCTGAATCTGAGGTTCAACTAACAGGCATTACCTCTTCTCCAGCACCCTGACATAGGCTTTGCCAGGGAGGCTGAGGAGTGTGATCCCTCTATAGTTGTAACATACCCTCTGGTCTCCTTTCTTAAAGATTGGGGCCACCACCCTGGTTTGCCAGTCCAGAGGTACTGGCCTGCGTTCCACGCAACATTGAAGAGGCATGTTAACCATGACACCTTTCAACATCTCTGGGCAAATCTCATCTACCCCTGCTGCCTAACTACTACAAAAGCACTTTACTGCCATATCAACCTCAGCATCAGAAATAGATCCAATCTTACTGGAGGTTTCCAGCACTGCATCCTGAAAGGGGGCCATGTCCATCAGGTTGAGGAGTTCCTCAAAGTGCTCTTTCCACCTCTCGGCGATCTCAGTCAAGGTCAGCATTTGACCACCCATGCTGAATACAGCTTGGACAACGTCCTGCTGACCCCTCCTAAGGCGACAAATGGTTTGCCAGGACACCTTTGAGGCCATCCAGTAGTCATTCTTGGTACTTTGTTCCAATCATTAATTACTCTCACTGTTAAAAATTTGCACCTTATCTCCCCTCTGGATTTGTCTAGTTTCAATTCCCAGCCATTGGCTCTTGTTATACCTTTGTCTGCTAGATCAAAGAGCCTTTGATTTTCAAATTTCTGTTTCCCGTGTAGATACTTATAAACTATGATCAAGTGACTTCTTAGCTTTCTCATTATTAAGCTAAATTCAATCATTTCCTATCAGGCATGCTTTCTAATCCTTAATCATTCTCCTGTGTCTATTTGGACTGTTTCTTACACCCGTATAGTGCAGAGCACCAATTTTGGCTGGGGCCTCTAGGTAATAAAAAAACTGTAATAAAAAAACTGAGCACATCCATTTTCATCTCAATGTGTGTAACTAACTTCCTACACATAGAAAAGTCAGATTAAAGAAAGAGCTAGTGTTTGAGGACCAGATTCCCAACTGCTCCTTACCATTCCTGCAATGCAAAGTAGTTTTAAACCCCACTTAACCCAGCAATTTCAGATGGCTTTGTGGCTGCTTTGCAGTGCTGGAAAGGCACATGGCCGCCAGTGTGTAGTGAGGAATATGGCCTCCAATACTGTCCATATTAGCTTTTTATAACATAAAATTATGGTGCTATCTTGCATCAGGTATAGTGAAGGAAATGCTGTTCCAGCTCTGACAAACCCCACGGCCTTCTTGGGCAGAGACTGCTTCTCCTGACAATTTAATGGGTAGGTTTATGAGTGAGATGTGATCCAATCCAAGAATTAATTTCAGGCTCCCAGCAATGAAAGGGAGGAGACAATTACTCACCTCACCACCTACAGTCTCTGTGAAGTATACACGGGTTTCCCAGTATATCACCTTGTATTAGTTGTCTGATAAGCAAGTGTTTAGTCAGAAGTCTGTTGTGTTCCCATTTCTCAATCATATCTGATACACTGTCACATCTGCTGTCCATGTACTGCATCATAGAGCACATAGCTTCAGCAAAAAATGCTGCTTTTGGAGGCTACATGTACATTACACACAGCTCCCTGCAGTGGAGAAAGGCCCCAGCAGCAGAAGACTCGACTGCTAAAAATAGCGATGCAGACACAGGATGCACTGCTTGGGCATGTAGAGAGGCATGGAGGACACATACCCTAGGAATTCAGGTGTGTCTTTATTCTACTCGTGTCAATGTTTACATTCCTCTTCATACCCAGGCTGGGCGGCGGGGGTGTGCAGTATATGTACTCTACATGCTGCCATAATGTGTGCAGATTTACCCCTAGAGAAACTTTCAGATCCATTTTATTCCCGGTTGAGAATATTTGTAGTTGTGGATTATTTATATTTAAACAATCAACAGTCATTTGTGTAAACAGTTTAAATGGAAAGAAATTATGTTTCAAGCATGTTTTCTTAAGATAGACTTAATACAAAAAGGATAAAAACAATAAAGCAAATGGGACAGCAGTAATACTGAACAAAACTTTTAGGTTTCTGACCACCACTTTAAATGTGTTAAAATAACATTTTAAAAGTTACTCTAAACCTCAGAGGTACCTGAACAAGAAAGTTTAATAATGAAATGACAAAACGTTTTCCAGGTTGCATGTTTATTTGTTCAAGTTTTGATGGGGAAAAGACGAATATTAAAGGAGAAATATAAATTATCTACAGAGTTTATTTTGACATTAAATTGAGCCCGCAGCTGGTTGGAATAGATCATCTTAATCCACTAATTCTCCTAGATATTTTATTCAGTCCAAATTGAAACAAAAATATATGTTATTAGTGGGTTGATAAACTACCCCAAGTGGGTACATCATTTTCAAACATAAAGAAACTTTGCAGAGCCATTTAGTCTGGTGTCTGACCAGTTGAAACTAGGCATCAAGATTATAATTTATTTTGTTGGTGGTGATACTGAACATTGTATTTAGCTCTCTTGAGCACATTCGCTCTCACACCCTTGGTTGTTGTCCATTTCTTAATAATAGATTTGAGTTCATGACATGAAGGGTTTATGCATACACTTGTGAGATTTGTGTACATAGTTTAGCTCAGGGATTCTGTGCTACTAATGGTCCACGTTTTCCCCTGGTTAAAACACCAGGGCAACTCTGCTTCAGCATGAAGCATAAGGAAATCCTGAGTCCCAATAACAATGAGTTTATTTGAGAAGAAAAACCATTTTTCACTTTCCCCTATGCAAAATGAATGGGAAAACAAACATGGAGAATGGATGACACCAAGGCCCTCGAAAGAACCGTGTACAGAAAAAACACCACTACTAGGATCTCCTAAAGGTTAAGGATTTATTTTCAATGCTCACATACAACTGAATGATAAATTATTTACACAAAGCATAAGTACAAAAAATATAATACAATTTTATACTGTACATGACATAAAGATTTGGCAGATATGATATGGGGAAAACACTGCACCCAACTGCCAGTCTAGCAGGAGCTCCATGTGTAAACAGGTTCATTAGAAGGTAGGCAGTTTATTGGTTTTCAGTGTGTTTAGTCTCCGAGTGAAGATTTGTGAAGCATGTCTTGGGGTAGGAAATTGGCAAGTGGACCAGCAGTGAACCTGACTTCTCTCTCTGAATGATCACTGATTGCTCCTTTCAGAAATGTTGATACTTTCTTCACTGAGGAAGCCAGAAGGATATTAAAATCAATTTTTATTGACTAGTTGAGTAGCTCATTGGCAGTTTCTCTTAAGTAATAATAATAGACTTCTCTAGCCCAAAGGTGGTTAGCACCATTACTTGCCAACCAATAAATTCCTGGGGAACTCATTTAGAACTGATACTACAAAACTGTTTTTTTATGATTATATATCAGGTCTCAGTCACTATACACACTGTCAATGCCAGTATTGAGTGCTACAGGGAACACAAACGTCAAAGTAATTACAAAGAAGGGCTAAAAGAAGTCAAATTGAGACCTTTCCTGTGAAGGTTTCTGCATCTGTGCACACCCATGCATATTCGTGTGTGTGTGCACAAGCACTCTTGCACAGAAGTGCATGCGGGGTTTCTCATAAACATGCGACAAACAAGGATTAAAATACACAAAGAGATTATGGTGTATTTTTGCCCTATAAACTTGGTTCTGCTTCCATTGATACAATGATGGTTGACTTTAATGGGGACAGGATTCGGCCCAACAGTTCATGAGTATCAATATGAACACTGAACAACAGGGACCAACCCCTCAGCTAGTATAAATCGGCACGGTTCCATTGACTCCCATGGTGATACATAGATTTACACCAGCTGCAGATCTGGTCCTGGATCTTCTCTAATGAATGATGTATAAAAGAAACATATTTCAGGGCAATCTCACACAATTTTTCAGGAAGTACCATGTGTATTTTTATTTTATTTCTACACCAATGGTCTTAGCTAGTTCTTCTCAGAAGTGTGTTACAATATGTAGGAGACAAGAAGTGATGAGTTGGGGTTTGTATAAGAGGAATACAGGAGAATTAGTCCCACTTACTTCCCCCCACCTAAACAAGTGCATGATACAGAGATGAATAGTTGCATACAAGCAACTTGATGAACACAGTTTTTATATGGATCCTAAAAAAATAACAACAGTTACTATATTGCCAATAATAATGTAGTAGATCGTTGCAAAATACTGAAGAGACACTGTATTAGCACATATGTGATGGTGGAGGTGGAGGCTGCGGTCGCCTTTGGGCATTTATGTGGTCATTTGAGTACAGTACAAAATCTCAGCAATCCATCTTTGTAACACAACGCGCAGGGATTTGTTTCTTTAGCAAGCCAACTCTCAAATACAGAGGAGGTGGGGGAATTCTTTTAATAAAAAAAGCAGGCCTTCCTTAGTGCCTGATCCAAAGTCTATTGAAGTCAGTGGAAGTGTTTTGTACATGTTCTTCAAGTGCTTTGAAATGAACATTTTGAACTTATTTTTTATGAGTTTACCATTAAAACCACTCCCAATGCCCTACACACACACACACACACAAATTAGCAATCTCTTTTGTGTTCAATTTCTATGTAAGTGCTAACACGGGAACAATAAAAAAGTGCCCAAGTTCTTTAAACCATGATAATTATCTTTCTAGCACAGTACAGGCAGCTCACTGATCTTTGGAACCAATTAAAAAGAGAAATATGAAGAGCATTGTGGCTTCCTTTCATTTTCTGTCCTGAGCAGAGGGAGACCCACATGAAAACAATTATTTTAAAAAAAAAATCTCCATTCATATCTGCTTCTTATTGTGAAAAACAATGTGCAGGTGAAATACATGAAATACTGACCTTTAAAAAGGCACAAGTCATTTTTTAAAAGAAAGTTAAGGCCCACAGTTTTCAAACATTATTTAAAATAGGTACCTAAAACTGTACTTAGACCCCTAGCTATGGGGATCTGATTTTCAGAGTTGCTGAGCACTTGCCCTTCCCACTAACATCAATGGGTGCTGTGGGCACTCAGCAGGTCTGAAAATCAGGCCACTTTTATTTAAATATTTAAAGATGGATTTAGGAACCTGACTTTTGGTGACCAGGTTTGAATATGTTGACTTTTCTTTCTATTAATGGGAAGATGCCCTGTAGCTTTATTACGTTTGGCAAAGTTGAAGGATGCTACACTTTGGACGGTGGGCAATATTTCTGTCATTTTTGAGTCTTTAGCTGACCTTCATGTCAATTTCAGTCTCAAGTGTCATATATGTTTCAGATACTTACAGAAGAGATTACTGATATTGGAATGGTCACCCTCAGTTGCTGACAGGAGACAGAAAAAAGAAACTAAATCTTTTGTGTCACATTCATTTTTTGGCTTTGTAAGTGTGTCTTTCCTATTCTTAAAGATGTGTGAATACTCTAACATTTTCCTCTCTCCAGACTGAAAACTATACACTGGGAGCAGAACACAGTTTATTCACAAACAGGATCGGAAATAACAAACCAAAATACTGTTGCGTCACCAAGGTCTAACTTTAGGAGTCAAGCCTGCTCCCTTAAAGGCCTTAAAATTACTGGGGAATTATCTTTCTTCAGATGCAGTCCACCCAAACCCAGTCTGTGTTTGCAGGATTTGGGTCTTAGGCCCTGATCCAGCAAAACAGTAAACTTTAAGCATGTGTTTAAATTCCATTTATTTCAATGGGGCTACTCATGTGCTTAAAGATAAGCAAACACATATATGCTTTACTGAAGTGGGGCCTTAATTATTCTATAATTAAAAAAAATATTTCTTTTCATTAACATTTCTTACATCTTTAAATCTCTCTTTTCTGTTTTGTATGGCCATATGGTCTAATATGCTGAGCACTTTTTTCTTTAATGAATCGCCTTGTGGCTCTATTTTATATTGATTTGAAACTTCCATCAGGTTTCTGTATGATTCTGATACTGTTAACAACTACTTCCCTGTACTTTACAGAGTATCCCATACCTTTCCAGGATTTTAATTAGTATTATTTCATATAATAGAAAATCAAAGCCAATTCAACACCCCTCTGTCTCCTGCTCTGTTATGAAAACTCAAACCCCAACCAAAACTCCCTTATTTTTATCTGAAACACACTGCTGCAGCAGCAGGCAATTGCAGATATCTGAAAAAAAGCTTCTACTAAAAGTAAGCTTAGATGAAAGTAAAGGTCTTCAGATTCAAATTGAAGTACAAGATACAATCTGCAAGCACAGTAGTGGATTTTACAACTGAGCAATATATTCCCATGTATCTCATATTGAATCAAGCCCCAAATGTCTACACACACACACACACACACACACACAGAGCTCTAATTTGAACTATCAGATGAAAACATATACTTTACAGCACCAGGCATTGCAATCTTCCTTTTTTTCTTTTTGTACTAGTGTTACACAGAAAAAAATTACAGATTTAAGATGAAATATTTTGGCCGGTTCTGGAGAAATTTTTATTTTAAACTTCAGTCTCGGTTTCATTTAAACGTAAGTGCAAAATGAAAGAAAGTTTTAAAATGAATGTATTGAACGAGCACTGGTATTTTAGAGATGGCCAATCCTGGCATTAGAAATAATATAATATTTTATCCAGAACAGAGAACTATATCAGAGCCAAAAATCTCTGAGAGAACTGGAGGGAATTAGAGGGGTCAGGGACTTGAATTCCCCTCTCAAGAAAAGAACAACAGTCTAGGGCCAAATTTTCCCCTCATACAAATGCCCACTGGCTTACATGAGAATTGCATGCAAGTGTCCACAGGATTTCAAAAATTCAAACTTTTATGGTTTAAAGAAAAACATTTTCATGTGCATTTAGATGTCAGAAATCCACTTCACACCAAAATGTGTGTCCTACCAATTTTAGAGCAAAAACTTTTAAAGAAATGGTTAAAAATTTAAAAAGAAAATCTGATTGGGGGACTACTTTTGTATCTGTCCATCTTCAAGGCCAGGCTCCATTAATGCCATATGTGCAACTGTGCAGCTCTCAGCGGCAGAACAAATAGACACAATTAATACATTTTAAATACCTCTAAATTAACCAAAATACTTTTCAATACACAAAAATGTCACAGCTTTAAAGGCTGATGTCTCAGGATCTTCCAAGACTAGTCCCACTGGGAAACTTGGGAGCTCCCCTTTCCAGTGATATGAAGATGCCATTTCTTACCCTGAAGGAACATGAGATACAGACATAAAACCTTTTTGTGCTATAGGACTAATTATTGCCCCAGCTTGGGCCACAGGGTAATTTGGGGAAATACATTTCACATTTGAAAGAAAAGAAGGAAACATTTCTCTGGCAGGTTGATTATTTTTAAAAAATGACATCACTTTGAAGCTGCTCAGAGATTTGGAATGGTTGAAATAGTCCTGTGGGAGATGGATTAGTGGGCAGAGTGCAGGGAAGGCTAAATGCAGTTAATCATATGTCTTCACAATTTATCCCATGGGTATTACCATCACAGATCTAATACAGTGAATATACATGGAATGGCCAATATATCTATATAGTTAGATATATACCCCTCAAAAATATTGTAGAGTAAAACATGGACTCATTTCAGGTAATTTTAATAAAAAGATAGATACTTTAAATATTTTAAAAAACTATGGGTCTAATAGCTAATAAGCTAAATTTAAAATACAGAAGCCAGACTAACACTGCTGTTAGTAGAGAAGCAGGGAAGAAGAGTGGGGTTTCTAATTTTGTTTTTTGTTTGGTTGGTTGGTTTTGTTTGGTTCGTTTTTCGGGCAGTGGCAGCAATTCAGATGTTATTTTCTTTATACTATTTAAATGAAGCGTTTTATTTCGCAGCAGCAGCAGAGTGATGCTAATACCAAACTGGTTATGATTTGGAAAGTTCCCCCTCCCCATTCCACTGAATTTTCTTGAAAAGGTAATTTCATCTTTCCTAAGGGAAATAAATGTGTGAGGCAGTTTCTTAGGAAACACATCAAAAGTACAGTATTACAATGGTAGACGAAAGAGGATTAGTGCCACCATATTTTTGGTGTGAACCTGTCTGAGGGTGGAGGATTTATTTTTAATTGACAGTTAAAATGAACATTGAAAATAGTCCAGTGGAAATACTTAGGAAACCAATCTTAATTATTTTCACTGAACCTAAGTACGATATGGTATTTGAACCTATTCCGATTCAAAAGTATTGCTCACTACAACACGTTATGAAGAAGTATCAGAGGGGTAGCCGTGTTAGTCTGAATCTGTAAAAAGCAACAGAGGGTCCTGTGGCACCTTTAAGACTAACAGAAGTATTGTGAGCATAAGCTTTCATGGGTAAGAACCTCACTTCTTCAGACGTTATGAAGAATTATTCCCATAATTAGTCTAGAATCTTGCCATGTAAGTTACAGGGCTATTAAAAGGAGGGGGCTAGCTCAGTGGTTTGCACATTGGCCTGCTAAACCCAAGATTGTGAGTTTAATCCTTGAGGGGGCCATTTCAGGATCTAGGGCAAAAATCTGTCTGGGGGTTGGTCCTGCTTTGAGCAGGGGCTTGGACTAGATGACCTCCTGAGATATTAATAATATATGGTGATATACCTAGCTCATAGAGCTAGAAGGGACCCAAAAAGGTCATTGAGTCCAGCCCCCTGCCTTCACTAGCAGGACCAAGTACAGATTTTGCCCCAGATCCCTAAGTGCCCCCGTCAAGGATTGAACTCATAGCAGACCAATGCTCAAACCACTGAGCTATCCCTCCCCCAACCTGGATACTCTATGATTCTAAAGTCATACACACACTCACACAAAATTCTATGTTCCTTGGCATTTTTTAATAGATTTACCTTGCAGAATTTTGATCCATTATATTCTAACATTTGCCTTTGCAAACCTTTTCTGTTTGTGTCTATCTATACTTTAATCTAAAGACCACAGGCTCTCCCATGTTGAAGCATCTCCACTTTGCATTTTCTCCCCGCAATCCGTCCCCCTTTTGAAATTTCTGACATGATAATCTATGGTGTATAGTTTAAAAACAGGCAATGATTTAAACCTTCTTATTCACTTTTTAATTTTGTTTAGGAAGTCTCTGAATTGTCCTTTTATGATATATATGGTTCAGCACTCTGGGCTAAACAAATGTCCCACACCCCTGCCATTTTCACTTCAATGGTACACCAGGAATTTCTCTTCCAAAAATACAAATGTTACAGATGTGGTGGGTGAAGAGGAGACCAAGAGAAGTTGGGCCATCATTTGAGGACTGCTACTGTTTCCTCACCTGCCATTGCACAAGAATTTAAAAGTGACGGCTTAAAAAGCAGCTAGTATGTTAAATATTCACATCAATAAGAGCCTCAAAGGAAGCCCACTTTAAACAACATTATTAATGGTCCGGGCACAGATTGATTAGCATGGATCAGACACATCAAGAAGATGAAAACAATGCTTTTCATAACACATCTGGCACTTTTTTCTTCCTTTTGTTGTTGTTGTTTTCAAACAGGCATGTATAAACAAGGACTTGTGAAAAGAAAAGCAATTCTATTATTAGGCATATGTTCCCAGGAGTGTCAAGGAAAGGGTGTGGTGAATAAATCATGGTACGGTTGTTTCTGCCACTAATTGGCATGTTTTTGGATGCTACAGCAGACTAGTCAAGTGGGTTCCATATGCACACTCTGAGGAGAAGAGGACTTTGGAATGCCATGAGTCATGCAAGTCCATAGAGTACAGTAACATTAGGTTACTAACGACGTGCAGAAAATGTTCAAACGTAACCTCCCAAAAAATAAAATAAACAAGATGAAGGCTTAAATTATCTCAACTTTGAACCATCTATTCTTCAGATTTCCCTTTTTGTCACAAGAAGCATATCTCTTGGTATATTCTGTTTGCTTCAAGATGTAAACAGCTGGGAAACTTCCAAGAGTTCCAGCCGAAACACTTCACAGTCTAGGAAGATTAACTCTGGACTGTTGTAGTTACTACAAAATAACACTGTGCTGCCAAATTTCTCCTCATCATTTACTCAACGTTCTATGAGCTTTTTTGGCAATATAATGTCAGGAAGACTCCTCAGAGGGCCCCACTGCTAGATGCAGAGTTTTCTCCTCAAACCCAGTGGAAACAAGCAGACAATGTCCAAAAGGAAATAGAAGTCATATTCCTGGCACCCTCTTCAAAGGGGTTACAGTCTTTTAAAAAGCGCAAGAAATTAGTTTGCAACATGTTAGAGAAATCTGACTGAACATCTATAAACACGAACAAAGTGATATACTCCTCAGGACTCATTCCACTATGCCCAGCTATTAAATCTGCATTCCGTACTGCAGGCCAACCTTTCACTATTGCAAAAGGGAACATCATGTCACATACAGGTGTTTTTGTTTTTTTGGCAGCAATGGGACACTGATGGCTTGGAGTGTGCTTGAAATGTCTCCGAACTTCATCTCTGAAGCCTCAAACACATGAGCGGTCATGTAGCACAGGCTTTGGGGGATTGGGGAGTTACCAAAGGCCAGAAAATACACAAATCCATTAGTACTCATCATAATTATTGAGATCTGTAAAATAGGCATTAGAATAGGTCTTTGCAGTAAGATGTGGATTGAAGTATTTGTTTCTCTCCTCCAAGATCAGGTTGTTTTTGTTAAATGCCTAGAAAAAGAATAGCAAAATGTATCATTTTAATAAGATAATTTTAGTGGGCAAACCTCCAGGGTCACCGATTCAAACAACGGTGCAACCAGAGTGCCCCTGAAATACATATGTTTATTACAAAACTCTGCATTTGTATGCACATATGTGTTACAATGAAGTCCTTAACTACATGATCCCATACAATATTGTTCCAATAGAACAATATAACCTTATAGGTTTTTTTCCTCCAATCTAAGATATTCACATGTAGGTTTTTATACTATATATTCTTCTTTCTTATAGTATTTTCATTGTCAAAATGGTTCTGTACATCTTTGTTGACTTAGACTTTTTATATAATTTCCCTCTAGATTACGCATTCCTTGATTTTGAGTGTAAAATTTTAAAGAGCATCTAAGTGATTTAGGAATATAAATTCCATTTTCAAAAGAGATTTAGGCATTTCAGAGTCAGATTTTCAAAGGTATTTAGGCACTTAAGCATGCAGATAGGTGCCTAGTGGATTTTCAAAAATACTTAAATAGAATACTCCATTGATTGCAAAGCATAATCTCTCTTTCCTAATTTCCTAGATTTTTTATTTAAGAAACAAATGGGGAAAGAAAAAAGAAAAAGATTCACTATCCTGGACTTCACAAACGCTTCAGAAAATTTTGCTATAGCACATAAATTCAATCATCTGAATGTATTTGGCTAGATAGCATACAAATGCCCAATCTTGCATACCCAATCTTGCATACTTTAGGAATTTTGCAATAGGAAGCTGTTCTAAAAGGTTATAAGTAGACTTGTCATGATTAGATTTGTTATAGGTAGATACTGGTAAATGTCAATTTCATCATACACATAGAGACAAACAATATTTCCACTGATGGTAATCAAAAATTCAGACAGGAAAAGTAAGAAAAATGTTGCTAAAAAATTTATTAGACTTTAATTTAAGGATATTTACTTTATGTATTTTAACATGCGATGTTGACAATTGATGTTTTAACAGTTTTAAAGCTTTAACTTTTAGAATCTTGAAGTCTAATGACATTGTCTGTCCCTCCCCCATTCCCAGATCTCCCCCCATAATTTCCTAAAACTGTGAACATTTAAATTGCTAATAACAAAAAATACTTAAAACTCACAATTTTGCACATCAGTTGAAGATCTGACCCATCACAGATTTGGTTCAAAGATTATAAGGCAGAAGGGACCACTGTGATCATTTAGTCTGACCTCTTGCATAACACAGGCCACAGAACTTCCCTGAATTAATTCCTGTTTGAACTACAGCATATCTTATCGAAAAACATCGAATCTTCATTTAAAAATTGCCAGTGATGGAGAATCCACCACAAGCCTTGGGTAAATTGTTCCAAACATTAATTACTTTCACTGTTAAAATTATGCAACTTATTTCCATCTGAATTTGTCTAGCTCCAACTTCAAGCCATTGGATCTTATTAAAGCTTTGTCTGTTGAACTGAAAAGTCCATTATCAATTTTTTCTTCCCCATGTAGGTACTTATAGACTGTCATCAAGTCACTCCTTAACCTTCTCTTTGTGGCTCTTCTCTTAAACTTTCAAATTTATCCACACCCTATCTGAACTGTGGACATCAGAGGTAATATAGCCTCCCTACTCCAACTCTATATTCTCTATTTATATATCCAATGATCATATTAGCCCTTTTGGCCACAGTGTCGCACTGGGAGCTCATGTTCAGGTGATTACCCAGCATGAATGTCAAGTCCTTTTTAGAGTCATTGCTTCCCAGGATTCAGTCCCCCATTCTGTAAGTAAGAGCTACACTCTTTGTATTAAGATGTATAACTTCACATTTGGCCTTATTAAGCACATATTTGTTTGCTTGAGCCTAACTTACAAAGCAATCCGGATCACTTTGTATCTCTGTCCTCTTCATTATTTACATTTCCCTTAATCTTTGTCATCTGCAAACTTTGTCTGTGATAATTTTATGTTTTCTTGAAAGTCACTGATAAAAAATTATGTTCACCAGCTCAATCACACACATAGCATGGGAAGGAGGACAGAAGCTTTTGCTGCCTGCTATTTGAACTAAAGGAAAGTCTCCATTAGGTATCACTATGATTTTTGAGGTCCAAATCTACGTTTTAAACCAGATACTGGAGGACGATACTTTCAAAGAAAACACTTGAGCAATAGTCTGATTTCTTTGAACAAAGGCCAGTGGTGCGCAAATTGTACATCCCAGCCAATACATGATAATATCTTCAGTGTATTATGGGCTGGTGTGATAAGAAATCTATAATTATTACATTACAAATATGAATCTAATTTAGTTATTCAAACATCTAATACTTGTATATTTAATATTTGTATGATCTTGAGTCCATCTTTCACTGTAAAAATGTATCATTAGAATTCCTTTGGCACACTGTAATTACTGTATACAGTTATACATAGCTACACATTACAGACAACTCTATCCATTGCTTACCTTGATGGCTTCTACAGAATCATATTTGTCCAGTTTGTTGATATGGTTAGTGATACTGGTATTAAGAGGAGCTGGCGACACTGGATGGATAACAGTTGCATCATGGGATTGCTGCTGATAGCGTTGGCAGTAAGTGTAAACAAGCAGTGTAAGCAGGCAGCCAAGTATAGAACTGCTCAAGCCCACCGCAATCATGTGGAACATGTTAAACTCTGAAGAACAGATAGCAAAAGACAGCATTACCTTTAAGGCAGTCACAATAAGAGTTTTGAAACGTTTGAAAAAACACAAACAGGTGCTTTGATCCAGAAGGGAATAAAGTATCTCATGGAGTTATGCATTTCTTGGAAATGTCAATCGCCAAGATTTTTACTTGTAACTGAAAATACATTGCATATTCCTAGAGATCACTATCAGCATCTTATATCAGCACATCTGTAGTACAGTAATATTGATTATGGCTGGGTTTTCAAAAGGAGTTAGGTGCCCAACTCCGATTGAAATTAATTGCATTTCTTTCAGTATTTTGAAAGTCTCTGCCTAAATTCAGTTCTGTAAATTGTACTGCAAAGTATCCAACATCACCATTTCCATTTTCATGTAGTATTTTAAAAAGATATATTATCTACACTAATTCATTTTGATTGAATCAAATAATCTCCTTGAATGTTGTTCTTCTAATTATTTCTGTTATACTCAGTGACTAGTAGGGACAATTTAGAACACAAGAACTAAGGTGAAATGCAAGTAAGTTTAATCAAAACCAATAAAAGACACCTGAATCCTGCTCTCCCTAAAAGGCTCTGGAAGTCTCCTTTACCTGGTGCTTTCTTCCAGGGGCAATGGCCTGGTGCTTTTCGAACACCCCATTCACCTCCTGGTGGGCCCCCTCACTCTTCTTATATCTTCAATGGGTGGCCAAGTTGCTCACTTCCCCATCCTGCATAATTATTTTTGTAAGTGGGAGTGGGAGTAGGAGTATTAGCACTGTAGGGAGAACAGGGGAACAAGAATTTCCCAATGTCCAATGCATGCTGGAGCATCTCAGCCTGAGGGTTCAAGAGAAGTGTAATGTACAGCAGTATAAGCAGGAATCTTTCCACTTGCTCCACCTAGACGATATTGTGGGATCTGTAGAGTAGGTGGCCCCCCTAAAGAAGTAAAATTGGGAAGCAAGCCCACTGGCTGCCCTTTGAAAATCTGGGAAGGAGCCTGATGCTCATTCCCTGATGCCATTGAGGGGTGAGAGATAGCAGGCGACACACAGACACAGACGGACAGACACACACACACACACACACACCAGAAGTTGGCACCAGCTATTGATGAATTAGAGGTAAGTGAATTACATTGCCTTGTACCACTTTTTCAAAGGTAGAGCTGTGTTTGTTTGGTGTGGTGAATGAAGGGATAACAACAAATAGTTCAAATTTTTATCCTGATTACCCAGCTTAGTTTTATACAAACTGGCATTTGATTGGCTAAAAGTGCCCAAATGAGGGAATATAGGCCTAGATCCTCAAAAGTATTTAGGTGCCTAACTCTCATTGATTATAATTAAGGCTAAGATTTTGTCATGGGTATTTTTAGTAAAACTCAAGTCACAGGCAATAAATAAAAAACAAGTCACAGGCAATAAATAAAAATGCACAGACGCCTGTGACCTGTCCCTGACTTTTACTAAAAATATCCCTGACAAATGGGGGAGGGAGGAGGATCTAGCACCCACAGCTGCTGGGGCTCTGGGGTTCCCCCCACCGCCCTTGGTGGCTCAGCAGCTGCAGGGTTCCCACGCCCCCCATAGTGGCTTGGCAGCTGCAAGGGGGGCCTCTGCCACCTGTGGTGGCTCGGCAGCTGCGAGGGGGCCCCAAACCATGCCCAGGGGCTGGGAGCTCCAGGGAACTCCACCCTTTGTGATGGTTGGGAGGACTGGGGGCCCCCAGCTGCCTGGTGGCTGGGAGCTGCAGCGGGGCTGCCAACTGCCAGCTCCAGCCCCGCTGCCCTGGGACTGAAGTGGAAAATGTCACGGAGGACTCTGAAAGTCACGGATTCTGTGACTTCTGTACATAATTGTAGCCTTAATTATAATGGGAGGTATGTGCCTCAAAATCTGGGCCATAGTGTCTCTACTGAAATTGAGTAGTAGCACTGGAATATAGAAAGGGATGTTCATAGGGGCCCTATTTTCAGCAGGCACATAAATCAGTATTATATGCCTCAAATAGGTTTTAGGTGCCTAAATGTGGATTTAGGTGGCTAACTTGGGTACTAATATATGTAAGTGGCCCATGAATCACTTTCCATCTTTTGGCAAAAGTTTTCCCCAGACACAGAGCTTGGTAAAAAAGTGAGGAAGCCAGAAAACAATCAATTCAGAGTGAATCTCAGAGTAGAACACATTGTGCACACTGATGACTTCACTTTTCCCCACTGAACTCACTCCCCTTTCCTTTAATGAAAAATTGCTTTCACTGTACATAAGAATACTAGAACCAGCCAGAGCGTTGACTGTGGCTAAATACTTAATAGGTGCAATTGTTAAAAACTAAAATAAAGTATTATTTTATTTTTACATTTTTCAACAATAATTTCTTTTCCTGCTCAGGACCTGTTTTGCTAACATTGTGGTTGTTTTGTAGGGGATTTTTTATTTTGTTTGTTTTGTTTTTGGCAGCTTGCCTGATAATGAGCTAGAGATACAGTCTGAGACATTAAATGGGTGACTAAGATGACTCATAGTTGTTCATTTGACTCCCAAGTGGGGATGGTGAAATTATTATCCTGGATTGGTGCAGTGACTTTCCAGATTTTTGATCTGCAAGTAACTTGCTTATAATAGGGCTTTCTCCTGCAGAGAGAAGGGTGATTGCCTTTGGGGGAGGCGGGAAGGTGAGAGTAAGAACTTCAGGTAACATGCTGTTGACTCAAAAGGTAGCCAGTGGCAGTCAGATATTTAATGAGGAAGCTTCTGGTAACTACAGTCTGTTTTTCTCAGAAATGTAAGTAATGAGAATATGGCATTTAGAAGGTAGAGTAAATGAGAAGGGAGCAAGAGGTGAAACAAATGGAGAAAAATAGGAATCAATTATACTGTTAAAAAAAAACAGGTAAAGATTCTGCTACAGAGAAATGAAAAACTTACCACCACATAGTTTTTCTTCTATGCTGCTAGATCTTGCTACTGATATTTCTAGAAAAAAAATAATGTAATTACAATGTGTAGATAAAACATAGCAGAGACATACTAAGCTGATGAATAGGTTAGAGCTGTGAGAAAAGATTACCCTCCCTCCCCCGGTTGAAACTGGCCAAACCCCCCAAACGAATCTTCACTCTTAGTTCCATGAATATAGCATTAAACATTTCTCATTTTTGTCTCAAAATTCTCAAGAGTTAAACAAATAGCAGATACTGTAGGGGGGCAAGCCACTTCTCCCCCACCAAATGGTGAGTTTCTGAATGGGGAAAATGGAAAAAAGTTCACAGGCTAGCTCAGGGGTGCAATAATGTTATTGTACCATGAAGACCCATGTCTACTGGTGAAAATATCGAAGTTTCATCTCAGATCAGTGTGATCTATGAGACCTTCATTGCCCACTGACAAAAGGGTTTGCTGTCATGTAACAGCAACTGCAATCAAGCCTGACAAACTCATTATACCTAACACATTGCTGTCATGGTATTTATCTACAAAGAATGTCATGTAAGGTATCAAATGAAAACTTATATCATACTGGTCATCACTGTGTGATGTAACAATTAAAAAGTTGTAGATATGTACTAAAAATATGCTCAAACCATGAAACCAGGCAGGGTTTGGTAAGCAAGTTTGTCCCAGACAAAGGACTGTTGATTTGCCTGTCTGCCTATGTCTCAAATGTAAATGGATCAGGGTAAGCCAAAGATAATGGGAATCAAAATTGCATCTGAAGTCAATCGGAAAATCAAATTATCAAGAGGACAACCCCTTCCAAAGGCACCATACATGAAGCATCCTGGCTGTCAGATGAAGGGCCTGCAGGCTGTGATTGAGGAGGAAGATGTGGTCCTGAGAGATCATATCTCCTCCAGCTGGAGTAGCAGTCTGACAGATAGTGCTAGTACCAGCCGAGAACCAGTGTTGTTGGGACCATGCTGGGGCGATAAGTATAAGCCATGAATTTTGCTAATATGTGGGGAGCTATTGACAGGCCAAAGGGTAGCACTGAAAATGGAAGTGGGATCCATTTACCATGAACTTGAGGAAATTTTGATGATTCTGATGAATTGCTATGTGAAAATACACATCCTTTAAGTCAAGGGCAGCATATCTGTGCCCCAGGTCCAATGAAGGAATAATGGAGGCCAGAGAGACCATCCAGAAGTTTGTTTTAAGAACTATATGAGCTCTCTTAGATCTAAAATAGCCTTGAGACCCCCTTTTGCTTTCCGGCTTAGGAAGTAGCAGGAAACAGGGAAACGTCCTCTATATTTCCCACAAGTAGAAGGGATTGCATCTCCTGCAGTAGAATGACCTCAGGAGAGTGGTCCCTAATGACAGACAGGGAAGGGCGGTGGGAGTGGGAACAGAAACAAACTGAAAGGTGTATCCCACTTTCACTGTGCTTAAGACCCAACAATCCATGGTGATGTAGGACCAAACATTTAGGAAATAGGATAGATGACAGGCAAATATAGGGGTGGGAAAAGATGTTGGGACTGGTAGTATGACCTCCACCAATGTGTCAAAATGCTTGTTTGGAGGACCCATCTTGTCTAGATGAACTGGCAGTTGCAGAGGAGGAGAGAGGTACCCAGCACTTCTTGTAAACTCTGCCCTTCTTTCTGGATAGGTCCTGGGTACAAAGCATGAAAACTGGATATAGGGAGGACTGCTGTGGGCAAAACAGCTTTATTTTTGCCATCAGTGTATAAATACCCAGCGACTTAAAGGTCACTCTTGAATCCTTGGAACTATGCAGCCTCTCATCAACTTTCTCAGAAAAGAGTGAAGGATCCTCAAATGGGAGGTACTGAAAGGTCTGTTGAACCTCTGGGGGAAAACAGACAACGGCAGCCATGAGCACTGCTGTATAGTAATGGCCAAAGCCATGGCTGAGCTGCAGAGTCAGACGCATCTAAGCTGGCCACTAATTTGCCCTCTTCTACCACTGTGGAGAATTCTTGTCTTTAAAATATTATCACCGAGTTCGGCACGGTAAGGACCTTGTCCAACCTGTCCCTGGCTTGGGAGAACTGTGAGGCCAGCCCAAGCTGGAGGGGCCTCATCCTGAGCCTGGCGTGGTGGACCGTACGTGCACGCCGATATGTGACCGAGCAGTTGTAGGCAGGACCTGGCTGTCATCACCGGGAACCTTACGATCGAGTCCATGAGCCCTTTCAGGGTCTCGAACCTGTCTGGGGGGAGAGAGGCCCTGGCCGACGTTGCGTCTAGGAGCGCCATGATAAACTCTATGTGTTGGACCGGGACTAACGTGGACTCGGGTGTTGTTTACCAACAGGCCCAGGGCGGTGCATGTGGACAGGAGGAGTGCCACATGATCCCTCACCTGCGACCGGGAGGTGCCCTTGACCAGTCAGTCGTCCAGATAGGGGAATATCTGGACCCCCCGGCGCCTGAAATAGGCTGCTACTACCGACGTGCACTTTGTAAAGACCCTGGGGGCAGTGGACAGACCAAACGGAAGGACTGTGAATTGGTAGTGATTCTGTCCCAACACAAAATGGAGGACGCGCCTGTGCCCCTCGAATAGGTGGATGTGGAAGTATGCATCCTGTAGATCAAGGGCCACATACAATCCCTGGGATCCAGGGAGGGGATGATGGATGCCAGGGAAACCATTTTACCAAGTACTGGTTCAGACCTCGCAGGTCCAGTATGGGTCTGAGCCCCCCTTTGGCCTTCGGGATAAGGAAATCCCGGGAGTAATACCCCTTGCCCAGGAACTCCGTGTGCACTGCCTCTATTGATCCTAGTTCCAGGAGCCTCACGACCTCCTGCTCGAGCAGAGCCTCGTGCAATGGGTCCCCGAAGAGGGATGGGGGTGGGGAGTGGTTGGGCGGGTAGGAGGTAAACTGGAGGGTGTAACCTCGGGAGATGGTGTTGAGGACCCAACGGTCCGAGGTGACCCGTGACCATTCCGGGAGGAAAGCACACAACCGATTGGAGAAAGGGAGCTTTATTGGGCATGGATCCCTGCTGAAAACTGGCGGAGTACCCCCGAGTGTCCCGTCAAAACCGCCTTTTACCCACCTGCTTGCCCTTAGAGGACCCAGACTGGGGGGCAGGCCGGTATCGTCTTTGCGGGCGTTTCTTATAGTCCCATTGCTTCTTATGGGCAGCTTCGTATTTTGGGAGGGCAGCCTGGGCGGGAGCCTGCTGTGGCTTGAACTTGGGTTTTGCCAGAGGAGGGACATAGAGGCCTAGGGTCTGGAGGGTCGTCCAGGAGTCTTTCATGCCGTGCAGCCTTGTGTCCGTTTCATCTGCAAACAGTGCCTTCCCATTAAAAGGGAGATCCTGCATCGGCGACTGCGCTTCGCTGGATAGCCCAGAGAGCAGAAGCCAGGATGCCCATCTCATGGACATCGCTGAGGCCATGGACCGTGCGGCCGCGTCCGCTGCATCCTAAGCGGCCTGCAGGGACGCCCTTGCGGCAGCTGCCCCTTTCTCCACGAGCGCCTTAAACTCCTTTCTATCGTGCTCCTGGAGGGAATCCTCGAACTTGGGGAGGGATCCCCATAGATTAATCTCGTAGCGACCCAGGAGAGCCTGATGATCTGCTACTCTCAACTGGAAGCCTGATGACGAATAAATTTTTCTCCCGAAAGCATCCAGCCTCCAAGAGTCTTTGTTCTTTGGGATTGGGGCTGGCTGCCCCTGTCACTCCCTGTGGTTGACCGACTTGACCACCAAGGAGTTGGGCACCGTGTAGGTATACAAATACTCGCGCCCTTTAGTGGGTACAAAGTACTTGCGCTCCGCCTTCTTAGAGATGGGAGCCAACGAGGCTGGTGTTTGCCACAGGGCATGTGAAATATTCGCCACCCCTTCATGGAGCGGCAAGGCCCCCTGCCCGGTGCCGAAGAGGACAGAACATTGAACAGCGAGTCTGAGGGTGCCTCCATTTCCTCTGCCTGGAGATGGAGGCTCGCTGCCACCCTTTTTAGTAATTCTTGATGGGCCCGGTAGTCCTCCTGTGGGACAGAGGGGGGCGGGGACGCAACGAGCTGCTCCGGATGGGGTGAGGAAGCCGGTGCAATGCTTTGGGTATCGGCCAGCACCGGAGGATCCACCCCCTGGTTGGACTCTGGGCATGGCAACGAGGAAGTGGGTCCCATCAACTCTTTCCTCAGCGGTCTAGGGATGGAGGCTGATGGTGCTTCTGACACCCCGGCCACCAAGAAAGCCCCCACCGGGGGCTGTGCCGGAGGCCACGGTGCCCACTGGTACCACTGGGCCGGCCATGACGCATAGTGCCACTACATTTGCTGACGCACCGGCAGGACCAGCTGATCAGGCTGGCCTGCCTGGCCTGTAGACTGGCGGCTGTGAGCGGAGGTCGGGTTGGTGTACGACATGCTGCTGCCTCCGGACTGGGAGTGACGGTGGTGCCGGGATCTATGTCGATGACGGGACCACAACCTCGAGGCGGGAGTACAGCACCAAAGGTAGTGGCTGCTCCGCGAGCGGTCTAGACGGGCGGACTGGGACGGCGAGGAGCTGGCGATCGACGCTCGGAGCTACGGTGCCTTGGTGGAGACTTTGAGCGGGATTCTGAGCAGGAACGGCGTCGATGGTCATGCCGCAGCCGACTGCGGTACCGCCTTCAAGATGAGGACCATTGGCGACGTCCGCCACGGTCCTGTCTGTGCTCGCTCCGTGAAGACGAGCAGTGCCAGGAGTCCCGATCGGATGGCACCCATCCAGACAGTCTAGCCGGTGTCGAGGGCGATCCACATGGACTGAGCCCTGAACGATCACTGGGCAGTGAGCAGTGTCGAGAATGTTCCCTCAACCGGGACCGGTACCGGGCCAGCGGCAACTGCGGCGATCCCAGCGGCGGGTTGCCTCTGGAGCGTGGGGCCGACATCGACGGCGCTCCCGGCACCGGCATGGACATGACGTCCGTAGCCACCTGGAGGGCTTCGGGCATAGATGGCATCTGGACATCTGGAAAGGCCTGCTCCGAA